GGAAAGAGAGGAGTAATAATGGTTGTCGCTTCACAAAGTTAGGATTAAAAATGATGTTTTTGCTTTGGTCTCCAATTGTTCTAAACTTCTCAAAATTTTCCCACAATGGCCAGACAGGACTTTTTCTCTTAAGGAAGAAGGCAGTTACTCCCAAGAAGGCAACTGGCTGACTGCTCAGCCTCTACCCCAATTCTACCCCTCTCCCTGCTACCACTCAGAGAGATGAAAATCTTTCTCCATCATGGGGAAAGATAGAGAAAGCTAAGATCCCCACCCTAAGGCCTCAAAGGCTAAGTGCTTTCTCCTTAGACCTGACTCAGGAAGATTCTGGAAAATGGGTTAGTCCATGTTCCCAGACCTCTGCCAGCTTCAACTATGTTCCGGGAGATCTCAGGATGTCACCAGCAGGAAATGTAACCCAGGTGACCTGTTTCAGTTCCACTGCTTTTTGTCTCCACAGGGTCACTGGGCCAGCCTGCTCACGTGTCTGTCCCTCTCACAGTCTTGTGATTCTTCTCCAAAACAAACAAACAAACAAAAAACACAGGGACTCTTACATCAGACTCCCACACCAGCCAAGGAACCCTCCCTCCTGGCCCACCTAAGAAGCCATCATGATCTTCTACCTCTCTTCTCATCTTCAAGTCAAAATTGACCTTCTTATCCCAGTGCTGGTGGCTCACCTCTGCAATCCTAGATACTCAGGAGGCTGAGATCTGAGGATGATAGTTCAAAGCTAGCCCAGGCAGAACAGTCCATGAGACTCTTTTTTTTTTTTGATTTGTAAGAACAGAACATTTATTAGGATATGAAGGACATAGGGAGGGAAATAGTTTGATAACAATGAGTGAATATCCCTTGAATACTTCAGAATTTTTTAAATTTTATGCCTTAACATTCAACTGGAGCCATGAGACTCTTACCTCCAATTATTAACCTCTAGTAAAGTGCCAGCCTTGAACATAAAAGCTAAAGGACAGTGCCCAGGCCCTGAGGTCAAACCCTAGAACTAATACACACACACACACACACACACACACACACACACACACACACACACTGCCTCTCCTTGCCTCTAGAAGAAAGTTTTCTTCTATAAAGGCTATCAGACCTACTTGCTCTAGAGTCCTTAGGGCATCAGCTTATGATACCTGCAGTCAGCTGAACTACAGTCATTCTCTCTCTCATCCTCTTCTCTCTCATGCCAAGGCCCTTAGCTTACTCTAGAATCAATCATCAGTATGCTGGGGTCCCCTTTTGTCCTCAAGGAATGTAAGCCCACTTGAGAGAGGCTCAGTACTCTGTCCACCTGCACCAGCACATATGCAGAACCCATTCCCAGACCCTAGTTCCAGAGATGCCAGCTGACAGAAGTACCAGGACCAGCAGATCTGAGGGAACAATGTGACATCAGTTTCTTCCACTAAGGTCCAAGACTGCCACAGCACCCAAGACCCCTCCCCATCACCAGCAAGACCCTCCCACTGCAGCCTGTAGGTTTCTCAGCCTCTAGCCAGTATCATCCAAGAGAATCTGGCAGAGCTCACTGGCACCATCCAGCAGGAAACGCACCCAAGCCTAAACCTGACTCTCATTTCTTTCCACTCGCCAGGGAGCGGTGCCCCTTCCTTCATTCTGGCATAGCCTTATGACCTATGCAGATGTCCTATGCAGGCAACTCCCACTTCCTACTCTGGGATAAGCCCAGAAAGCAGACTCTGCCTAGCCAACAGCCTGGGCAGCACAGCTTTGACCTCTGATCTTCTTCCCTTCTACCTCCCTAATAACTACCCAGGGTCTGGCCTTAGGGAGCTCCCCCTTGATGAACCCCTGAGGAAGTTTCAGAGCACTGGTAGCTAGGACCGGTGAGTCATCCCCACCCGACAAACCTGTCCCTGCCTTCACCACCCACGTACATCTTGATGGGCCCAATTGAATTCTCTTTTCCCTGCTTGAACAGAGATTCTCAAGAAGGAGCAGGAGCCTACTCCCTTCCTGGGGGTCTGGGTGGTAAAGCTCAGTAGAAGAGCACTTGCTTAGCACCACAAAGACCCTAATGCCAGTTTGACCTCTGCTTAAAGCCATTTAACTCCCCTCTGTTGTAAATCCTTCATCTGTAGGATGGTATTAACAGTACCTGTTTTTAGGGATAGATTAAGTGAGAACAGTAATGAAAGGGTTTAGTGTTTGTAGTTTTTTGGTGTGTTTTTTTTCTCTCTCTCTTGATTTTAGTTACCACTGAACAAGACCCTACTGGGTAGGTAGGTTATATAATTCCTGCTTTGCTAACGAGGTTACTGAGGCTCCAAGTGGGGAGGTTGACTGGACCAAGGCTATACCAGTAATGAGACACCGAGCTGAACTCAATCCAGGCCAGAACTAGCCTGCTAGACCATCTCTCCAGATAAAGCACTTGTCTGTGGACAAGTCAATTGTACCATCTCCTGCTAAAGTAGCTCCTAGAGGGGACAGACTGCCCTCTCTCGTGCAACACTCCATGAGCCCCCCCTCCCCTCCCCCAGAGCTGAAAAGGCTGCCAGCTCTAGCCTGGCCTTCTGAAACCCACACATGGCATTCTCCAAGCACAGCCCTGGCAGCCCAAACAGCAGCTCCAGAGGGAATAGGGTGGAGCTGGGTGCAGGGGAGTGTAAGTGTGAGTGTGTGAGAGAGAGAGTGTGTGTGTGTGTAGGTGCCTGTCACCCAAGCTGGGACTTGATCTGGCAAGAAATGACTAACCGGATCCTGCCTTCTTTTCCCCCTCCCTCCAGCCCAGTCAGAAGCCAGTTTTCACCCAGCACCTCCTAGCCATACTTCCTCAGTATTATCTTTTCATCAGAGCCACAAACCAGATTAGCTAAACTAATTATTTAGCTAACATAATTGTAATGCCTTCCCCTCCTCCACCTTGGCACAGAGAAGAGGGAAAATAGGTTGTTTGGGCCTAAACTCTATGCCCCTGTAAGCTTCCCAGAGGTGGACCTGTGGACTTTCCCACCCACCACCCAGCTGAGCCTAATCACCACTTAGGATACCTGGAAATGGGTGGGTCTGCTCCCACCCCTTTCATCAATAACCAAACAAGGAGAAAGCTTTCCTAAGTGGGTTTCAAGCAGCATTGGTCCCCTCACCCCTGTCCCCCCCCC